TAGAAGCTGGCGTTGTTCACAGACGGACAAACGGACAGATGTTTTCGCGTCAATCGAGTTGTTGGTATCAAACACGGACAAAACATCTCTTGTTAGAGGATTTTTCTAAATTATTCATCTGGATTAATCTACTTTTTCATTGCCACGGCCCTGTAATAAGAGTTTTTCTGCAGAAAATTCGACGTTTTTCGTACAGCATATAACTTTCTCTCTACAGCGTTAGCGGTAGCGTGAAAGTAAAACATGACATTTCATTCAAAGCCGTTCCATACTTATGATCATAGATCATAGATCAATGATCATAGCAGTTGACGCGCCTGTAAACGAAGGGCCTCGGAATGAGAAGGTTCTATAATTGGTTTCTAAGTTAGTCTACTTTGATTACAGGAAGGAATTTTGACTGTTTGTAGTCCTCCTGTGTCTAGTACGTAGTGCATAGTACGTATGTTGTAGATCCGACAACAAAGTAAATTGGTTAAAACGTTGTTTTCGACTAAATAGAGCGATGTCATTTATCATACGAGGCCATACTGTTTTTCTGAGTGTGGTAGTGTACCGTACTTACGCAGCAAAGAGAAAGTATTGAATGTTGGGGGCGGATATAGGAATTTTTTCGACAGAAATACTAGTCTTAACCCTCCAGTTCCCAAGACCAAGAAAGAAAAATATTTTGCAATTTACCCCATAATATTTCAGTTCCTGCTCTTATAACATCATTTTTATGATTTTACAAAATAATAATATAGATTTTTAGAAAAATAGATGGCACTTGGAGGCGCCTTTGGACACTGGACAATGAAGAGATGCTACGAGATACATAGAAACTTTATTTTTCGTTTCGTTGTGAAAACATAACGTCAGTATTTTGATTTGTGCATTAATATTTACATACTTACAGAAAATTTACAACTTTTGATCAAAATAGTAAAAACCATGAATGTGTATTTCTTGAATGCATTTATTGCAATTTTTCTAGTTCTTTTGTAGCATAACGCTATCTTGTGATTGCTTCGTATTTCGTCGAGATCCTTTAAGAATATTTCCAGTTGTTACACTAACTTCCAAAGGATTGTGATATTTGAAAAGCTATTCCTGTACAGTGGCCCTGCGAAACTCTACGTCATTTTGAGACTTGGTGTTGTTTATATTTTAGCAACCAATCATTGTGACAGGCAGCATCAAGGCTAAACGCAAAGAGTGAATACCACCACTTATGACCTCTTAGCGATACTCGTAACGAATCAACGTTTTCATCAAACCTATCAACACATTGCATGTAAATTTTGTTCTTCCGTATTATGTTTGGGTACTGAATATTAACTTCTTGATTTATCCTCAAAAATTACCTATTCTGTTTATTTTCGATAATGGAGGAATGACATTTGACAAGGTTGGACAACATTCTTGAAAAATGTATTTCAGATACAAAATATAACATACTCTGCCGAAAGTATTTTTGATATCAAATACAAAATACTTCCATAAAAGTATTTTAGAAACAAAATAGTATTTTAAAATACTTTTGAAAATACAACCAAATATATACATAATTTCTGTTCTATTTTTTTCCTTTTAAATAGTCTTTCACGTTCAATAAAATATCACCACATTACATTTAAAATTTTATGATTAAAAATATAAATGATTATTTATATAACACAACGGGTGACGTTTTCAACCCATCATCAAGTATCTACTATATATGCGGTTTATGTTCATATTTTAGGTCTCAAAGGCATCTTGGTTATTTGTCCACTTTATGCACCCCAGGACTTGATGCACTAATAAAGTTTAAAATATGCATGCAACTATGCTCTTAAAATTGACCATATAATTACCGAAGAAAGCCAATATATGCTCTTAAAACTAAGAATATGCGATAAACAAAAATATTGTTAGTAACAGATAACATTTATTTACATAATCTTCATTTTTTACACTAATACAAAACGCCTATAACAAAAATATATTTTCAAAAATGATAAACAAAAATATATTAACCGAGAGATTCAATAGCATTGTTATAAGATCATTACCATAAACAATGACAATTAAGCACAGATCATCTTATAAAGTCTAAAAGCATGCTGAACGGTATCTTTCCTCAGCAGTGAGGGTTGCTCGCATTTATTTTCCAACAACTGCCTCGGCTTCGGTCGGCAAGAACTCTTCCTAAATATTTATTACTAGAGTCAGATTATAGTGTATCTACTCAGCACGTTCCAGAACCGTTTGTGCAGGAATGTTTAGAGTTCTATTGTACAAGTTGATTCTAAACTTTTTTTACTCGCGCTTTTGAATTGAATTGACATCTTATTTTACCAGAGGCACACACCATGAGGCTTGCTCTTTCGACTGACCTCGCAAATTTCGCTACGCTGTAGAGTATTTTCCATAAGCTCGCTGTACAAATTTTACGCTAAAAGTACAAGTTTAAGAATATTGAAAACAATCTTGATAATATGCCGTCTACACTGACGAAACACAAAGTCAATTCAATGCTGTTTCTTTTCAGCAATTTTTTCTTCCCGCTCGACAGAAAAACGAACACTCTAACTTTCAAAACGCATTAAAAAAGTAGTCAACTACGTACGTTTACAAAATGCATTTGGGTTTTCGTTAATTCGAAATTAATTTGTAATTGCAACTCATTCAAAATATAAGAGAATGTGCTTATAATATTAAATTAACACAATTCTTATGAATGCAACACTTCACAGCAATACGCGCTAGCCAAGAACTGTTTGATAGAAGGGATTCTTTTCAGTGGAGAGATATCTCACACTTCCTTCGTTCAATGTCACACGTACTTCTCCTACAAACTTGTGCTAGTTGAGTGTTAAATCACCGAAACATGTCTCAAACTGACTGAGATCGTCACTACGCAAACGCAGTGCAAGATGCAATGCATAATGCAATTGCATTATGTTTCGCGGCCTATTAATGACACAAATTTGATCGGACCTTCTGTTCTTAGTACTAATTAGGGAGAAAAAGATGGAAGATGTATAATATTATATCTAAATTTTCTAAAAAGTCATGAAGTCCTTTTCTACCTCTATCAAAAAGCAAGATTAGTAATCTGCAAGATTACTTATTTCTCTTAACCTCCATCCGGACCGGCAGGACATGGTTCTGGACCCTCCAAAGCAAGCAGTTCTATTTAAGTGATTTATTGAAAAGTTATTTTATAATTATACATTACAAGGCTTTACGTAGGCAGGAAAGATTGTCAAATCTTCACAATGAGATAGAAAAGGAAAGTAATCAGTGTCAGGTGAACGGCTGAAAAAAGGCTACCTGCGTAGACAGAGATAGATAGATAGATACAGAGATAGATACAACCCCTGCCTGAGTACTCATCACTACAACGCCAGACACGTGTGTCTTCATCTAATACTATTTTTTTACTGCCTCTTTCTTTGTCTTTCTCACAGGACACACAATAGGTGGTTCTGCACGTGCGTACCTGGAGGGTGTCGACGGTGTAGTCCGCCTCGACGCTACGCAAGTGCAAGACCCGCCATATTGTCAAATACAAAATCACAATTTTCATAAATTGTACAAAGGATTTTTTAACCATCCGCATGAGTTGATGCGGATTGAACGTCGAAAATGCGAAGTAAAATGCGGTACCTCTGGTGGACTGCTATCTTTGAAAATGGTTCCACAGACTTTCTGTATTTCAGGAAGTGTACGATGAACACGCTTTTGTCGCGCTCCCAATGTCGTTCAAGTCCCGGTTCAAGATATCGTTCGTCTACGTTCTCCTAAACTACGGTGTAAAATACGTACTTACTCCGAGCCTAAATCCAACACGGTTGCTCGTCCACGTTCCCCTTTCCTTGAGTTGTCAAAAACGTTCAACTAAATACTGCTGCAGAGCACCAAATGAAGAGAGTAGAGATGCAAATCTATTAAGACCTTCCTCCCCCCCCCACACACACACTTCAACGTAATATCCCCAAATAACATCTCCAATGAAACAAAGTTCCCCAACTCTGAAACGAAAAATATTTCCAAGTTACAGACCAACGACATGAGCTCTCCTTGACGATTCCATTGTAAGTACCCTTGAATTCAAATAACTAAAATCAACCAACCTTCGTCCTTTGAGCTGTTGGAAGCCCTACTATATTCGTTTTCCACACGTTTTTCTTTCTCTTTACCTGTCGTTTATTTTTTACTTCTTTTTAAACATTAAAATTAAAGAGATTAATGTATTTGGTTCCTTTTTTATTATAATAATCGAGAATATTTCTATCACGACTCCGGATGAGCTTTCCTTGTACGTATGAATGCGTGTACTTGGCGCGACAGACAGTGAACGGGCTCTGGCCTAGCGACGCCCCTCCAACGCGGCTATGGGTCAATGCGGTACGTGTGGTTAGTACGTAGACACCCCCATATTCCGGTCTTCTCAACCTGTGAAGTGAATTTACTCATCATCACACAGCGACATATTCTGGGACATTGTAAGGAAAACGCGTTTTCGAGCTTTTCTTATCGTAGTGAAGATTTTTACACGTAATGAATTAATAATATTTGACACATGAATAGTTGCAATGTAAATCTTTTCACTAATGTGCAATTGGAAATTATACTTTTGTGTTAATTATATATTATTATATTTTGTGTAAATATTAATTTTGTGAATACATTCATGTTAGAGACTTTAACAACATTATAAAATATCTTAATTATATACTGTTGCGAAATAATCGTGTACGTACTTTTTGTTCTAAAAATGTACTGGCTATGATTTCGTGGTTTCTCGGTTGTCAGTAATTAAGAGGGAGCAATAATCCCTGAGAGTAATAATTCCTGAGCTCGCAACTTAACAAAACGTCGGGAAAAATTGTAAGAAACTACTAATCCTGCTGAAAAAGTCGCATTTCGAATATTAGAGCATTTGCAAATTGCTGGTGATGCTAAAAACTCTTCGTTTAGATGTTGGCGGTCCTGGCCAGTTGACGTCACATCCTCCGTATTAGACCTTTAGTTCGACTCGCAACGCTGCCTTGAATGTAGGTGTTCTTAAGTGAAATCACGATGTAAGATTTATCTTACATAGTGGATGAAAAGACGTGTATTATTTACCGCGCTACAGTAATTATCGATGGCAACGATATTCTCATGTGGACGTTCTAGCTATGCTGCATTGTTCAACTACTATTTACACGGTTGGTTGACCAATATACATTGTTTATAAAATAACTATTTCATTTGTTACGTTTCTTTAGAACAATAGCCATCTTTTGTAATGGGAAGAAATTCTGCATTCATAGTTCTTCATTAGTTTAAAAAATATTCTATTATGATACTAAAAGCATACACTACAACTACTTTCATAATGTTTAAGTGAATGTAAGATTTCTGTCTTTACCGTTATCACAGTGAGTAATAGAAATCTCTTAGCAATATTTGATACGATAGGATAGTATTTCAACAATAGTTATTATTCATAATAAATGAACTATTGCTGATCATTACTGATTAAATGAATAATTACTAGTCATTCATTTATTATGTCACAGACATTTATCTGTGTTTTTTTATGTATAATGTTCGTTATTATATTTGCCCATGATACAAAGACGAATTTCTTAATTACGATTCTTTGGTTCGGGAAACTTGGACAATAATTTTGAATATCGTACTTCGTTGCACAGCCAGAACTTAAAAACATATTAGATATGTTTCACTGAGACAGATTTTCTCAGTTTCAAAAACAACGTATAAGTATCTTGAATCTTGGATTTTGAATTGTACCAATGCCACATAAAACATCTATAAAAATAGTGTCTAGGTTGCATTGATCGTACTCATTGAATTAAATATATATTTAACGTAAATATTCATATTTTAAATGTATTATTTTTATATCAAACTATCCTATTTATTTTATATTTTTATTATTACATTTTCATCGTATTATTCAAATTCACCATTGATCATTTAAACGTGGTTACTTTTAGTAACGCGGATGTCCAATCGAGAGCGTCATTACGGCTTGATTTTTGATATTGAAGTTCCGATTGGATGACAGTGTCCCCCTCTCCTTACAGCTCGAAACCTTAGAGAGTCACTATATATAAAACAGACAATGACCGTTAAGATCTCAAATGAATACTTCAAGGATTTTCTTCAATTAGAGAAATTAATTGAGGAAATTACGACTCGTGGCTTTTTCTGTCAATAACGGTGTCCAGAGCAGGAAAATTAAATGTCTCGTAGAGTTTTTCATGTGTTTCCGTATGTTTCGAGAATCTTAAGTGTCATTCCACCATTTTGTACATTGAATATATTTTTCAAGGCCGATCCTCTTTTCTAGGTTCCACGCAGTAATACAAATTTTCTCCAGATCGATTGCTTTGAAATTATTTATTTACATTAGTTAATTTGAGAATGGGTAAGATGTTAACCTGGATGAGCATTGAAGATTCATCATCTTTCGACAATAGTGTAGAAACAAAGGTGAGTACATGTTTTCGTAATTTTCCATTAGATTTCGTTTTGTAGATATTCTTCACTATCTGTGCACGTCATCTGAAGTTTGTTGGGGAATATAGTAAACCAAATTAACATTCTCCATGTACTTGTGACAGTAAGACAATTCCTTCACAAAGGACACGATAATTACGAATATCTGAAGCTGACTTATCTTTGCATACAGTTTTTATTACACTGGAGCTAATATTTTCTTATCAATTTTTGTCAAAAACTCTCGTTTTCACGTGTATTCATGCTTCAACTTGTATTATGGTTTAGGGTACTAGAATCTTAGAAAAAGTGCACAATATACACTTCTTCCCACAGTATGCCACATCATTTTAAGATGTTTTCGACGTTAAATAATTGTACACATTATAATATATTACATAGTATGTTGTCTAAAAAATGGCGAAATGATATAATTGTCCACCAGGGCAGTGGTGCATTTTAAGACACCTATTCAACTGCATTTAAAATTATATAAAACCCAAAACACATTGTCAAATTAAAATTAATATTTTTTATGTGCACTTGAAGACATAACCTAACCTAACGTCTTGTATTTTTTAATTAAAACGAAAGAATAAACATCCATTAACAACTTATATCTTCAACCCCCTCCAGACCTTATATTTTATTGTTTTATAAGTCTGTACTCAGGGATTGGGGAGAGCATTATAATTACGCCTTTACTATTTAAGGACCCATGGATCATTACACTCCAGCGACTTGCAGTTTAAACAACAGCTTCCCAAGGTAAGAAAATCGCGCTATGCCACTGGTTATTTTGTTTCATTGTATGGAGACGATATTCTTTGAAGTAAACCGTATAGTTAATGTTTTCCTTGTAGGAAATTACGTAATCATTTAAATATCTTAACGAGAAAACTTTTAATTTTATCGTTTTACTACGTACGTAGTAAAGGTAAAGCATTGTAATGCTGCTGCAAAAATGGGTGATATTTCCATCGAAAACAAATCCTGAAACCCTGGTATCGAAAAGTGGATAAACATGTCACTACTTTTAGAAAATTACTACATCTAACACATAATGTAGTTAGAATAATGTTTTGTGGGTCCTTGATTCTGAAAAAATATTTGACAAGAACACTGTGGTCTTCAGCGCTTGTAACTGTCATTTGATTTTCGAAAAAAATATATTCTCCGATCGCAATCAAGGTCCAAAAATTTCAAAAGGATATTTTGATTTTTGTGGTACATTTACATTAAGCCCAAAGAACCGTTTCAAAATACTGTACAACGGCCTTAGAAATATACTACATTTTACTTTTACAACGTTTCAAACCTACATTGTGGGAGCGTAGGCTTCCGCGGCCGGAGTCAGAATTTACTAGGCTGTCCGGGTGACGCCTCGTCCATGGCGAAGGCCCTGAGGAAGTTCGCAGAATAGCGACCGAAACGTCGGCACCTTCGCCATGGACGCGGCGTCACCCGGACAGCCTAGTAAATACAAACGTACATTGTGTTTTTTATTCAAGTATTGTGTACATATAAATGTAATTATAACTACTTTATCAATAGATAATTTGTTATTCACATTATTTTAAACTACACTTTAACAAATTATATGAAGGTAAATAACACAAATAACTTTTTTAATTTTTTGCGAGGTTTTGCATTACATTATTCAAAGTTGTAAGACCGAAGAAATATATTTTTCAAAGAGAACAATGTGGTTAATAAATGTAATAAAACTTGAAAATTCAAATACAAATATACAATTTGTATGGTGATATTAGTGAATTTGACTTAAAAAATGTAGTGAACATTCAGACTGAGTGCGGTGACGAGAGAAGAAAAAGATGTAGTGAACTTTAAACTTTTAACCATTTTAGTTGAACATTGTAGGTTTTATTTGCCTCAATATCCCTTTAAAAATGAGTTCTTTTTGTACGAGACTTCAAAAACACTCGCCAGGTTTAGCACGAATTGAAACGACTCACCCCACTTTGAGGGGGAGATCTTACCCTACATTGTGATGTATGACTAATAATAATAATTATAATAATAATAATAATAATAATAATAATAATAATAATAATAATAATAATAATAATAAAAGTACATAATGATTATGGAGTATATGCACACTTTATATTATCTAATTATGGGTCTCAATTTGTAAATTCAGGAAATTTTATTAATTATATTTTTAAAACAATTGTTCGAATATATTCAAATTTAAATTAAAATATCAACTTTTTAAAGAAATTTAATAGATAAAAATAATACAGAACATTTTCAACATTTTCTCAAAAATGGCTCAATTAAAAAAAATGTATACTGCCTTTTTCAATTTTAACACATTAATCCAGGGCTTTTAAAATAATTATACCTTTTAGGGAAGACGCCAGTGATTTGTTATAAGGTACCTTAGTTTCCTAGTTTTAAAATAGTAGATTCTCAAAATTATATTGAACATGATGACGAAACAGCATTGACGATTGTACATATTTGCAGTGTAAAAGTTGATTTTAAAATTTATGAAGAGAAAAATATGGACGGTGTAAAATATCTTTAAAGAATCTTGAACAATTATGAAGTGCTTCTGAATTGTGACATAAATATAAGTTTTTGAAGCAAATGAAGGAGGTAATAAGTTTAAAGAAATGTTGTCCAATTTGAAATTCTCAATGAATTGGCTTATTTGATATAAAGAATTCTGGTTGTAAAAATTTTCTTAAAAAATATTTTATGGGGTTTGTAATTTGTTAATAAGTATGGAAGATTCATTGAACCATAAGGACAAGTGTGAGAAATGGCCTTATAATTATTTTTTTATTAATATAACATATTTGATTCATTTTTTAATTTATTTATGAGTTAAGAGATTTTTGCTGACTCATTTTTTGATAAGGTTTGTCTACAATGGTATGAGATTTACAAGTTGAACATTTATCAAGGGACACACTTAAGTATTTAACGAAGATATTGCTATCTAACCAAAGAATATGAATATTATTAATAATTAGGAGAGAAGTGCAAGGACTACATAGTGTCATCGTTCTTGCTTATGTTTTGAGTGGGTTAATTTTAATTCTCTAATTTTCAGTCTATTTTATGTACTTTTAAAAAAACATTTTGAAGAATAATAGAGCAATTTTTGTATTAAAATGAGAAGAAAAGTATGCAATATCATTAATGAAAAGAGCTAAAAAGAAGGATAAAATGGGAATAACAGACATGTAGGTTTTAAAGAGATATGGGTGAAAGAGTTGAACCTTGTGAAATTCCTGAATGAATTTGTCATAAAATGGAAAGAGAAGAATTAATTTTAACTACAAAATTAAAATTTAATACGAAAATTTTAATGCTTTTTAATAATTACGTCAATCTTTATCGAAACGTTGAGCCTCAAACATGCAATAGTATGTTTTTTAGTGTAAAAAGATTGTTATTAATTAAGTAAGGAATATTGACGGAAGAGCTGGCCTGACGGCCCGAGTCTCGCCACGTAAAATAAGGCATTAAACAAATTCAAAATGATTAAAGAGGTATGAGCCACAAAGTAGTACATTACAGTATACATTTTAATAAAAAGAAAACAGACATACGCGTGTTTCGGGATTACTTCCCATCTTTAGTGGCTCTAAGTAAATGGATTAAACTTGTAGGCTCATCCCATCTTGAATGTTGGTGCTTATGTCTTTGACCTACTTAAGTCCTATTTTGTAATAATTAGCAAAACGTTATTTTTACCGTCCTTCAAATATGAGTGATAAATAAATGTGCATTGATGAACTAATCGAGGAGGATAAATTATATTTTTAAAAAAATCTCAATCTTCAACAATGTAAGTGTACGACAAAGCCAAAAAATCAAACTTGCAATTTTCGAAAATTCACAGTTGACGGAGAAAATAGGACCTATGCCACCTTTATAAATTAATTCCATTCCATTTTTTCAAGAAATCTAAAGAAAAAAATGGAGCTCTTTTTGAGAAAAGTTTGTATACATCCTAGGAGTTGTGAAGTATCCCAAAATTTAAAGAACTCCTTTTTTAAATCGCAGAGCTTTAAGTCGCGCCAGATCTATCCAGGAATATTCGTTTTCGAAAAAAATGCTAGTATTGTTCATGACTGAACGTTTAAAAAATAAATATTTCTTCGATATTATAGAACCTCGAAACATGTATTCTTGTTAAAATTTCAAAATCGATTTTGTGCAGTTATATATGTAAATTTCTCTTATACTATATTACTAATCACAATCTTATACTGTATTACTATTCACTACTAAACGTTAATATTTCGGTTTCACATCTCGTGAACATGAATTTTCGTTTTTTAAAGGCGTATTCAAAACAAATGCATTCGGAAGATTTCACAGTAACCTTACGAATAGCACATTTCCGAGCTTTGCACTTCTGAAACCAACACGGTATTCTTCATTTTATTGGCACCTCTACAACTTCGCTGTGATTTACGATAAAATGGATTTAAATAGAATGGAGAAGTACCATATTAAAAATCTTGTTGTGCTTTTTATTTTATTTTATTTTTTACATTCATACGTTCAAAAAACAGTTTTGTATTGTGTTACAGAAACGTTTGTATCAATACAGTGAATTAGTACGTTCTTGTTACTACACTACAGCAAATTTATCCTTAATGAATAAGTTTTTAATATGCAAGCCAAAGTTTGACTTGCAAGGCAAAGTTTGATGTTTTGTCATTTTCTTGTTCTTGATCTCACTGAATATTTAGTTTCCCATATCGAACTTCAATTTTCGAGATTAATACGTTTGAAATAGTGTGATCAAAACCCAATGTGTGGAAAACGAAGCAATAGTTTTCATAAGAAATTATGGAAATAAAATGAAGCTTCTGAAACGCCAAACATGTGAACAAAAGTGATTTCATGTTACGAATTCTATCTAATTGCTATTTTATCAAAAGACTAGAACTGGAAATTTACATTAATCTTGGAACTTAAGTAAGTTGTTTTTCATTCAATAAACA